CCGCGCGCAGCCGGATTACTGGCTTTATTATTACTTGTTGCAGATTATTAATTACCGAGAATTACGAGCGAAGCACGGGAGTAGGCTGGGTGGTGATGTTGGACGGTACCGTGGTTGGGGGGAGGACGGATGCTGGGAAGAAAAGCACCCCTCTCAGGTTTGTGTTTTCAATTAATTTCCGTAAATTAAGAACGATTGTAAGAAGAGATTAGTGACCGCTGGCCGTGCTTCGAGGACTGTGAGGATTCTATAGATGGAGAAGACCGCTCCGGTTTCTCTTCAAAAGTGACGTCGAGTAATTAAACAACTCGATAAACAACTGTAGCGTACAGTTATTAAATCGACGAATAAATGAATAAATGAACAAAACTGATGTCGTGGCTGTATCATTAAATAGCTTGTATAGGTGCTACGAAATAACCAATAACAACCAACAACATCTCGCGTCGTTATGATGCACTTGAATTTTCCAATTCCGAGGTGGAACAGTTCCCGCTTTTTATCAATAAAAAAAAAAGACCAGAGTGGGGTCTTGTGTTTCTCGTGTATGCATTGTACTATATGTATATAAAGTTCAAGGCTTATCCATCTCGCGATTTTCATCGATTGGAGTTGCCTGAATTATTCTCACGATACTGACGCACAGTATATAGGCGGCAAACGCGTGGACTTCGTTTTCGGTTATAGGATTAATCGACAAGCAGATTTAATGGAGAGACACGCACGCACGCACGCACGCACGCACGCACGCACGCATTCGCTCACGTACGTCGTGGGTGAGTCTACTAGCGCGTGTACATACGGAATGGCGCGGCGGCAACAACATACGCGTATATCTCGATGAAAAGTAATGCTAACAATGGGGTCATGCGAGCCTTTATAATATCACGCTGGCGGCCCAATTCCCTGTGCAGGATACGTAACGGGGAAAAAAGGCCGAGAGGCCTGCCAGCTGCTGTAAACGATACAATTACCAGATAGATACGTGTTCGTATACAGAGAGAAAGAAAGAGGAAGAGAGATGAAGAAAGAGCGGGGGGAGCGGGGGGGGAAGAGGAGATGATAGTTCTCTACTCGGCGTCGCTGTAGCAAAAGAATCGAGCGATCCCTTTTTCGAGACGTCCGTCAAATAATATCGCGACGCTTCCCGAGCATAGCCGCGGAGAGAGCACGGTCGCGTTCATACGAGGACTTTACCGAGCCCTATTTGTGTATTCGTGCAGTTAACACGAGCGCATAGATATTAAAAGCTTACGTAGCCTATAACCACGCATCGGCGCACGGCAACAACCAGGAGCTGGGAGGAGCGAGCAGAGGAAATAAATATTAATAACGGCTTTCTGCTGCCATCTCTCTCTCTCTCTCTCTCTCTCTCTCTCTCTCTCTCTCTCTCTCTCTTCCTCTCCTCACCCCTCTTTTCATTGGTTCTATTCTCTATACACCCCTCCTTTCTCTCTCCCCTTTGCCACCTCTCTCCCCTGTGTCTCTCGCTCTCTCACAATATGTCTGTGCATTGTTAGAGCCATTACGGGAGCCAATTAATCTATGCACAATTTTATAATTAAACGGCTAATAGCGCATAGAATTATAGTCCAGGGCCGCGCGCACTCCCACGTATTTTCAACTGGCTGTTGTTATATCAGGTATATATATACTGAACGCTACGCTCGGATAGGAAGAAGGAAGAATGAAGAAAAATCCACGCGTTCTTGTCCCTTTTCCCTCCGCGTATGTTCCTTTCTACGTATTTTTCTTTCTACTTTTTTTCCCCTCTCTCTCTTTGTCTCCTCGAGACGCGACCTCTTTTCACGAATTCCCAATTAGAGACTCTCAATTCCGAAGAAACAGTTTGCGAGGCGATCGTTCCTTCATCGTTCGTCCGGCCGAGTTAGGCAAATTAATTAATATAATTGACTCGTCTCGTTAGCTGTGCAGAACGCGGCCACGTTATTATTTTCTTGCCGATTATCGTAGGGCTCGCATCGACTTATATGCATGATATACGACGCGCGCAATTATCGCAGTCGATTACTTTTCAGCGTGTAACAGGAATATCTGTCGGCGTTCTCGATCAGATAGTGACCTCCCGTCTCGGATTCGCGTTTTAAGGACGTGCTTCTCGAACGACGGCATCTTCCACGGGGAGGAAGTCTCGCGATAAGAAATAACGCGGTGTATTTAAACATGCGCCATACCCGTAAGTTTAAAACGCATGTGTTGCGCGTGTTCGTTACACAACACGCGTGTTCGCCGCGAACATGATTCCTTCGCGTTATGAAATCTCTCGTTCTCCCGCGGCGTCGTATATTTACGTGCATTTTCGCCGTTGTCGCCCGCTTTCCTCGCTTTTTCAAACACTATCGCTGCACGTGAGCACGAAATACGGCACGTCCGGCGCAATCGGTTATGTATCTACGGGGCCGTCCGAACGGAACAACGCACCCGGTGCCCGCGCGTTGTAAACCGCAAGAAAAATCCCCCTGAATTATTGGTGCGGTTCTGGGCGCATGCTGTTGCATCGGTCCGATAGAAGAGGCGCGGGATCGACGTGCAGTCGCTGCATCTACGTAGGTGTGCAAGTGCATGCATGCGCGCGCGCGCGTATTACAACGTCCGCGTGCGGGTGTGTGCTCGTCGTTTGGTCCGTCGTAGACGTGGCACACGGCCGTGTATTATCGACGAATGTAACGACGTCAACGTTACACGCGATCGTACTACGCGCAAAACGACCGTGTCGCAGCCACTTGATCATCACTCCTGTCTTTCACTATCGCCACATTTCGCTTTTCTACAATCTCGTCTCTTCGCGATCGGACGCGCGGAAAGACCAGCGGAAATAGTATCCGAGGATTTTGAGAGTGGGCCAGGTTGCTTAATTTTTCACATCGCCGCGCGATACGCGTGAATATATAACGAATATTTCTGAACGATACGATCCGAACTGATACGATCGTCAATACTGATGACGAATTAAAAATTGTTCTCGATATTAAAATGCTAATCTATTGTTAGACGCCACTAAGCGATACTATTGTACTTTAGAGAGAGAATTTCCAAATCAGAGAGAATTATTCGAGAAACAAGAGCGAGCCTTCATTTTCTAGATCATAATACTATTTGTAACGGAAAGCAGAAACGTTAATCTCGAAAGATTAGTCTCTAATGGACGGAGATATAATAGAATATCGAGGAAAACTAGCGATTTTGTAAATCGAGCGATAGTTTTGAATTTAACATCGCGAGGAAGGGCGAATCTAGCGAAACGACAAAGCGTACCCTGGAAAGACGAGACCCGCACGAGCCGACGGCTCGCGGAACTCTGTTCTGTGACTGCGACTCGGGATTATTTGGATCCCTGCGATCCCTACGAGCTTCCTCCTTCTACCTCTCGCGCTCGCTCTCTCCTCCTGGCTATCTCTCCAGCTCTTTCACTCCGTCCCTCGGGATATCCCTCGGTTCCCTCTCGCTCGGACCCTCTCTCTCTCTCTCTCTCTCTCTCTGTGTCGCGTTGAATCCGTTTCCGTTGTGACTGCCACTGCGCATCGCGCGCTGAATAAGTATTGCCTATTTGCCACGCAATTCGCGATCCGCCGCAAATACCGAAAAATCTCGATTATATCGTGACAATTGAACGTAGCGAGTGATTAATTTGTCGAGAGTATATCGAATGAGAAATTTGTCGAGCCTATCGACTAGAATGAAACGTCTGATCGGATGGAATGATCCGGATTGACAGAAACGACACGTCGGGAGGACAACACTTTCTCTGACGACCTTAAATCCCCTCGTTCCGTTTACCATTCCGTTTCGTCTGTCGTCTACCTCGTGGGTGGGGTGCGAGAGAGCTTGTACAACCGGGCTCTCTTCCTCTCGCCCGACATCCTCTCTTTCTCTCCCTATTCGGGGACGATTCATTCAGAGAAACTGCCGTGAAAGGGACACCTGTTGGCGCGGGAACTCGGTGACAATCCTAGAAACGAGGAGCACGTGCCGCTGCCACACGACTCGGATATTTTCATTCTCGATTGTCCCATTTGGTGTACGGTGCACCAAACGATTGTCCCATTTCGTGAATATTATTTTACGAGCAGCTGCGCGATGTATCTCTGTATTTTAGCGCGAAATACTATCTTAAATGCGAATAAAGTTATATTCGCGAAATGACATTCCTTTCAAAGCACAAAATGCAATTTCCTGAAGCAATCTCACGACGCATGAGGATCACATTCGTGAACTATCTATACGAAAAGGCCTGAGGGTCACCGGGAGTTGTTTTCGACGATGATCAAGTCTTAAGGAGCGGTAGGTGGTGCACAATTAAAGTATTTTTTGGCGGACTGGTAGCGTGAAAGCCAAGCCATGGTACAGGGCGAAGATAAAGTGCTGCCCAGCGGCGACATCATGCGTTATTAATGTATGCGAGGATCGTAGCTTCCGTTCGTAGTAACGGCGCCCAAGAAGCCCAAGAAGCGCATTGAGACGCTCAGTACGTGAGTGTTATTTCCGGAATCTTATTCTCCTTATCTTGTTATCGAAATGGACTGGCATTAATTATGGCTAACAGTCGACAAACAGCTGCTACTCGCCGCTATTATGGATAGGATTTCTTTTCAGAAACGTTCGAAACATGACACGATCGCCACAAGGCAACATCAAAATAATTAGCTTCGTCGAAATTAAGTCACGGAGTCTCAAGAGAAGGCCTAGATTTTTAATCCTACATCGCATACAAAAATTTATAATACACATAACATATACTGCAAACTATTTTGTATTGTGTGCGTATATTTTTCGAGAATAGAACCCCTGTTCTCTCTCTCTTATCCGGAATTATACATTTAGCGTGTCGATTGTCAGCTGCAAGCTTAATTAGAAACAAACGCAAGTTTTTCTCGATCCAGAAACGCCTGCTCGCGATTCGCAACGATCTAATCGACGAACGAGGATTGAACAGATAAGAGAATCCTATCATCATATCTCTCCGAGGGTGTTCAACCTACCTGGCCGTGGTGCAGTCCCTGTAAAGAATGTCGAAGTCCTTGCAGCTGAGCAGCTTGCACCGATTGACGCCGGGCTGGATGGCTCCGAGACCGCGTAGAATCCTAACCTGCTCGACGTTACACACCAACGGCACGATATCCAGTCGCTTGAGCTTCGTGTAGACTGTGTGGAGGCCGCCCACGAGGTGTTTGAGAAACAGCTCGAAGGCCTGAGGCAGACACAGCATCGTGTCGCCGGCGATGATGAACGCGGCAACCTTCTGACCACGGTAGTCGACCAACTTGCACTCGTTGGCGGTAGGATCGCTAGTGCTAATCGGCGGTGGACTGTTGTAGGATCTCGGTGGCAGAACCGCGTGATGGGCTGCCATTAATTCGAGCGGCGAGCCATGGTGCCCGCTCAGCATACCACCGAGCTGGCCCAACAGTCCCAGTCCCGGCGGCGGCAAACCCGGCATACGAGGCACCATACCCGGCGGTGCCCCGGGGCCGCCCCCGGCCGACAACGGCGGTGGACTCAGAGGAAGGCCCTGGGGTGGTGAACCTCTCGTAGGCGATCCCGGTGTCGGCACACCACGGTGCTGCGGTTGCTGCTGCGGATGATCGCGAATCTGATCACGCCCGTGCGATTGCTGATGAGACGGCGGTGGTTGATGTTGACTGCCGTGGAGCTGTTGCTGCTGCTGCTGCTGCTGCTGTTGGTTCTGCTGCGTCGACGGGCTGTGAGGATGTTTTGGACTGCCGGTTACGGGACTGGCACGACTGCTGTGGTCGGAAGAGCTGTCCATCGCTCCGTGGTCCATGGAGGGTCGGAAACGCGCGTCCCTGTTCTTCGTACGACTTGTAGAGACGACGAGACACTCCGGCACGCTCTTCTCGCCAGTGATAAGCTCCGTGCCTCTGTCGATCACGTCGCCGTGTCACTGTGTCCGCCCGATGGCGAATATCGGTACGACTCGAGCGTGCGAATCCTTTCAATGCATGTTAAAGCTGGGCTTCCTTCGTGATCCTCTTTGCGAATTGTCATAAACTCTTTGATAAACTCGAAGGATATCTTTCAAAATTACACTCGACTAACGTTCGCTTCGAACGTATCGCTTGTCACTGCAAACGTCGTGAATCGTGCGTCTTTACGCAAATCAGACCGCACGATTTTGTCAGTCTTCATACACACGTGAACTTTTGTGTCCATAACAAACTTTCAGTCCACTTTGTAGTCCACTTTGTAGTCCACTTTCAACGCGTACTTATTTTATTTTCACCGATCCATTGCGAAGGCGTTTAACTGAATGACAACACAACGACAGCGAGGATGACAACACGATGATGACAAAAAGTTATCGCGCAGACAGCGACGACGACAATTGTCTCGCGCCGAGTTCGTCTCAGCGAGACGTTACAGCAACTTATTCACTGGCTCACGACGATGATACTTTCATGTCACAAAAAAAAAAAAACGAAAAGCGAGTCGCGATAACACCGAGCTCTGAAACGACAGAACGACGCGTGAGCACGAGGGAACCGTAACCGTGAATACGATTGTGACGGTGTCAATGGCGAGATGACAGCGAGGAAGACGAAGACGACGGCGACGGCAACGACGGCGACGGCGGCGGCGACGGCGACGACGGCGGCGACAACGACGACGACGACGACAACGACGACGGAGGCGGCTGCCGCGGTAACTCGCAGGGACGCGCGTCGCTCGTTCTCAAAGTAGCAAACGCTCTCTCGGTCGAGTCGGGAGTATTTCCCTACCCAGTCACAGATGTAATAAATAAAAACATCAGTGGGAGCCCGACAAACGGGGAGGATGGGCGTTCTGTGCGCGCAACCGACTATCCGGTTGGCGGAGCCACCAGGGCGGCTGTTCTCGCTATTGGACGGCGGGCTCGCACTGTCTACGCCTTTCGAACCTTCCCCCGAGTGGCGGCGGCTCGGCCACCCGCCCCCCGCGTCCCCCACTATTTGCCCAACCTCTGCCACCGACGTGGTAGACGACGACGACTACGCCGGTGAGGACGCCGTTCCGGGGGCTACCAACACAGAGGGACAACCAGACGCAGACGCGCAGAGAGCCTGAGGACAGTACGACTGGAACGTACTGGCGACGCGAGTGGGGGGGGATTTCTTCTTTTACCTCACCGGGTTTGTCTTCTTTCGTTGTAGGTCTTACGTTCTCTCTTTCCTCTTTCGCTCGCTCGCTCGCTCGCTCGCGCGTACATATCTCCTCGCCTCACTCTCCGCTTTTATATCTTTCACTCTTGTCTCTTATTTCGCATGCTGCTCCTCTCTCGGGCATCTTGATTGTTCTCGCTCTCGGTCTCTCCCAAGTCTCGACTCTTGCTCTTGCTTCTTTCTCTTCTTCGGCTGTCTACACCATTTCAATACGTTCCAGTACGATCGCGGTTTCTTCACTTCGTCACATCCGATTTTCTCTTTTAACAATTCTTTATTTTATTTTCAATTCATTCCATTATCCGTTGCCCTCTCACACACGTTTCACATTCTCGATTCTTCCGAAGTCGCGTTAGTCGCGTATGTCATTCTCACTCACTTTTCTCTCGTTCCTTCCTATCTTTCCGATACTATTCTCGTCTCCCGCCCCTCCTCGCCTCCCGCTACCCTCCACGTTCACCGAGTTCCCGCTCTCTCGTGCGACCAGCCAGCCCTCTCTGCTTTCTCGCTTTATCTCCTTCTTTCGTCATCCCCCTCTGCGTCACGTGCGCACACACGTACTGCCCGTGTCTCTATCTCTCTCCCTCTTTCTCCCACTGTTCCCTGTCCCTACGACGAAGAATGTCGCCAACGTTCGAATCGATCGCTCGCTTTCGCGCGTACTGCCTCCCTTCTTCACCCTTCTGCCGTCCGCGCGAGCCCACTCCTCCTCTATCTGCCCCTGCTCCTCTCGCTTCTCTCCTCTCCTCCTTCACCTCCCCCTCCCCCTCCTCCTCCTCCTCCTCCACCTCAACCTTCTCCGCCACCCTCTCTACTCTTCCCTCAGATCTCCTCTACCATATTCGCCATCAGCATTACACGCGCGCACTTATTTCTTCTGTAGGTAACTCCGCTTTCCTTGCGATCTCTCTCCTACTCTGCCACCCCCTTGCGCCTTCGCCCACCCTTAGTCCACCTGCCCCCTCTCTGCCGCGCGCGCCTCCGCGTTTCCTCCGCCTCTCCATCCCCACCAGTCCAGCACATAGGATAGTCTACGCTCTCCGTAGCTCGACACGGTTAGGGTATGGGTGCTTAATATCTTTGTGCCATACCCAAGGCGCCCGTATCCGCCGACAGTTCCTAGAGGTGAACTTTGCCGCGATCGAGTGCCTTGATTCGCGGGACAGAGATGAAAACCGTAACTGTGCAGTGTGTGCACACAGACACAAATAATTACTCGAGCGAATGTAACAAACAAGACGCTTAATCTCGAGAGTGGATATATTCCTGATTAAAAGGAGTTTAAAAGAGGATCTAGAAGGAAGTCGAGTATTCACGTACTAAATAATTAAATATATGCGCGACACGTTTCTCATCTTGGATAAGAGTATAGAAAGACTAACTTTTCTTTTCAAAGAGTTTTCATCCGTATCTCGAGCGTGTTTATGACTCCGTTCATGCAGAGTGCAAAAAAATATATACAGCAGGGAAGACCCGTAGCCGGTCTCTCCGATTATCTCTCGTCATAGACGCTCCGTAGCTACTGAGAGGGGGCAGGGGAGGGGGAGAAGAGTCTAGCGTTCTCTCCTCTCTTTTGGCCGGTCAACCCCTCATCGGCCCGGTGACCCAGATTCGCTAGGGAGACCCTTCGCGATGCGAGTATTATCGTGTGTGTTTATACCGACACACGTTCGTACAACCATACGCACTCGTACACACGGCCGTATTCATGCTCGCATACAGATTCCACGGTCCATAGGTATACGTTTACTCGAAACAGCTGATCTCGTCATCTTATAGATTCCCAAACAAAACGAAACCCTCTAGGCCTATTCTTTATTGAGCGTAAGCGAGAAGGATGTGATCGCTGTTTATACATTTGCAAATCTAGTCTCCGGCCAGTGTAAAGTCCTCATTCTCAACAATCATACGTCACCTCAGATAATTGATATTTGGTATTTACGAAAATCGTAACACACTGACATTGAGAGAAAAGTGTTCGGTATTCATGGTTATAATTGCTCGGTAAAATAATTGTGAACAAATACATTGTAAAAATAAATGTCTCGATATAAAATATTTTACTTAAGAAAATTATTATTTATTTGATTCGGCATTAACGCGGCTTATTTTTTAATATTAAAATATATTCTCTCTCAATATACAATATTATAGAGCAATAAAAGTTGCGCTGATAGGAAACGGAAGGTAAAGATAGAATATCTTTTATAAAATAATTATGATAACGAAAGAGAAATATAGAATATATCTTTTTCAAAATAATTATAAGAGATCCATTTCTGTAATTATTATTGCTGTATTGTTTTGGTGATAATAATTATATTTATAGTTCTCTACCAAAAAATATATAATTAACACTGAAAATGATAAATTATAGTTAAATTATGAAATCATTGCAATCTCACTTCTCTCAATGCATTGCGAAAAAGTGGAGCGTTTAGTTTCGTTAAAATGTAGATACGTGTATTACAACCTATTTATCATAATTGCTCACATACCCGCGTACAACGATCTAATAACGGTCAAATAAATTCACTACTGACTACGCTAATATATAATCCGAAAAAAGATTTATGTCAGACAAGTTTGCAAACTGATATTCCTGTAACTTTGAAACCACCGCGGATATGATAAATTGTACATGAACCCTGTCTGTTGAGGGATGAAGCTAGGCTCGAGCAACAACTCGTTCCGAATGGAATAAGAATCGTCCTTTGTCTTGCGAGAGGACGATCGATCATGAGATCGATGC